GGGTCGACGCGCCAGGGACCCGCTTGAGGTGCTCCATGTCTAGCTTGACTGCGCCAGTCTCATACGAGATGTTATCCTCGAACAGGTCCCCCAGGCAGTACGCCCTGCTGACACAGGGGACGTCCGAGTCCCCACCTCCGGTATTTCGGCTGAAACACAGAGCATAGATTTTGCCGTTTGGATTGAGATGGCAGATCAGTCTCTGACGGTTTTCATGGATCCGACCCGTGTAGCACGGCTCTGTGCGATCGCTGTAGTTGTAGCGATCATGTCCATCCTCGTAGGCGCTGGGGTGCAAGCGCTCTCGGAGCAGCGCCAGCATGCGCGTCTTGACGAACTCGTCATTCGTCGAGCTGCGCTCAGTGCCCCTTGCAGACATCACTCGCGGGTTTCTAAACCTTTCGTGGAGTCTTTCGGGCACTTCAAATGGCAGCTTGACCTCTTCACGGGCCTGTAGCACAGCACGAAGGCAGCTTGTTAGGAGCACATTCGTGCCAAGTCATCTACATGGCCTTGTCAAAATGAGAGGAGGAAGCCAGGAAGGAGGCCAAGGTGGTTCGTGTTTGGCGACCACTTGAACTGGAAAACCTTGCGCTGCCTTTCAACCAAGGATTGTGTGAGAGCAACAGATTGGAACAAAAGCCGAGCGCCTTCAAACGCAGCGATCCCATCAAGCTTCAACGCTGAAGAGGCGATCAGAAACGAGGAGTGCGCCACAAGCAGGGTCCTTCCTTCCGCAAAGATGAAGGCCGCATTTCAAGCAATCACTGCTCAGGCTCGCAGCAAAACTAGCATGATGTACCAAGAAACGATGTATTACTTTCTAAAGAATCTAACGGGCCTTTCCTGGTACATCTTGCGGGCATGGCCGGGCAGCACATCAAGCGCCAAAACCGTTTCGTACCAGGAAGGATGTGTAACTCTTCAAAGATTGAAGCCGTTTTCTGGTACAGCCTTCATATGACCGACCAGGCAGGTGTGGGGGCTGGATGAGCTGCTCACCTCGAGGGGCTCCAGCCAGGTCACGAGAGCATCCTTCCAGGAATGGGCCGGATTGATGCACGTCAGGACGCTTTCCGGCTTCTCGATCTTGGCGCTTCCCGGGGTCCGCCACTCGCGGTCCTTCGAGTACACGTTCAGGTCGATGGCGTCGGCGAGCGCAGGATGCCACCGCTGCAGCCTCTTCTTGAGGCGCCTTGCAAAGTGGAGAGCCCCCTCGGTGTTAGAGGCGAAGACGAGCTGGCGGGGGGCCAGCTGGTTGATTGTGAGGTGGAGGCTGAACTTGGTCTGACCGGGGCTCTCGATCCAGACGAAGCTGCTCGGCTGCAGCTCACAGTCGTATTGCTCCATGAATACGATACTGGCCCACTTCTCCATGAGCCCAATCACCTCCTCCCGATCGTACCTCTCCCCAGCCTCCACAACCTCCCCATCCGCCCCGATCACCGGCTGACGCCTGAACGGAAGCCCCTCCTTCCAGTCGAGGTCGAGGTAGGGCTTGCAGGGCTTTCCGTTCTGGATGATTTCGGTCACCGACCCGTGCCGCCCCTCCAGATGCGACCGCGCTGTCTCCTAGTCCGGGTATGAGGCGAAGCTGCGCCAGGGGACCCTGACCCCTTCCCGAAGCATGGCAGACCACTTGTGCAGGACCACCTGCGCCCCGTAGTTTAGGAGCGCCGCCTCCTGCTGCATGAAGACTTTTGGGCCAGGAAGGCGGCCCCTGGGGTTGGCCCCGGTCTGATGGAAGCAGTTGGTGCCGTGCTCCCGCACACGCAACACCCGGAACTCGTCATTCTTGAAGACCTCGTTGCCAGTCAGCGGATCAGAGAGAATTGCCGGCTCGGGCGCCGCCACAAGGTCCTTGTGCGCCATTGGAGGCCTGCATGAGCGATGTAGGAGCAGTCAGATACCGCAGCGCAAGAGAGGCTGGCACACCTGCGTAGCCTTCGACCGTGCTCGTGAACGAGTAAAACGACACTACCTGGTGCAAGTACCTTCTGTGGAGATATGCCCACGTTGGTGGACGGGTTTGATGAGCTGTGGCGCACCAAAAAGCATCGCTGACCATGTCTCCTGCTTTACAGAGAAAGATTGAGGAAGCAGATTCTTAAGCACTGCAACACTCGACGGGGCGGCCGACCTCACACCAAAGCATGAGGATACGGATTCGCAAAGAGAGACCGACAAGCCTGGGTCGTCCGTTCACGTCTCTCTGACAGAATACTGGCTGACTCAGTGTACATTAAGTGTACCCAGTGCACCCAGTGTACACTTTGCACTGTCCGAGCGATCCTGTCAACAGGATATAGCCGGCCCCAAGTTCCGACCATCCACCGCACAGTGAGCACAGCAGGCTGCCCAAGAAAAGTGGCGGTGGGCTGCAACCCCACTGAACTTTGTAAAGATCATCACGATCTTCGAAAGGGACAGCCACTTACACAGAGGTCGGTGGCGCTTCATCCGAGGCCCGCCTCCTCTGCATCTCTCTTCGCATGGGCTCCAGCGCATCGTCCACGGTTTGCTCCTCGAGCCGAGCTGTCGCTTCCTCCATCTCCAGCTGCCTGTACAGATCCAGTGATTCAGCGTCCGGCAGTGCCGAGTCGTCAATGCCCCGGTCATCATCAGATGTGGGCTCTTCGTCGGATTTGGTCTCGTCTGATGTTTCTTCAATGTCGAAGGAGGCAGCCTCTCGACCGGACGTCGCTGCTACCTCCTGCAAAACCATAAGGAACTGATCAATAAAATCTCGCCGTGCTTGCCGCTCATTGGCCGTCAGAAGAAGCTGGCAGTGGGGATCTTCTTGCAAAGAACGGTGAGCGCAGCCTGGTGCTTAGCCCGGCAATGAAGACAGAGCCTATGCCTCTTTGCGCAGCCTCGGCATGCCCCTCTTGATACCTTTCAGCAATCGCACACAGAACAGCACACAGATTGCTTACTGCTTCGTCCGGGCTTCCGATCCGGATCCTGGTACCGCTTGGCGCTGGGGAGCTCTCTCTGCTTGAGACGGCCCTCTTCCTGCCTGCGACCTCCTGCATTTGAGCATTGGGACACGTTGCATTCAGAGCAGGCATCACACGGACTTAGGGGAACGCCTCAGCGCTCAAAGGCATCACAACCATGTGCTTTGACACCAAGTTCACGGGCCGCTTTGCTCTTTCTCGCCCCCTGACCGTCAAAGAGAGCGCAATTTTGAAGGCCGTACACGACTACCGCCCTCAGAATAACCTGGAACTACCCTCTGCGGCTTCCGAGCAAGAGCGCCCGGTCAAGATCGTGCGGGTGGGATCCAAGCACATATACGGCGGAGAGAAATTCCACTTCTTCGGTATATTCCCCTCCTTCGACTGCCAATGGACCGTCTCCAAGGATAAGCGCGCTCTTGTTTGGGACGAGAGAGGTGACTTCAGGGACTATGTGAGCTGGTTAGAGCACCTCATCTCCCATTTCTTTGCGGCATGGGGAGTACAGCTGAACGGGACCGTCACATTGGAGGGGAATCTCTTAGGCGACACGGGATCGATTACGATCGATGGCGACCGGATTGTCGTCGATCTGAAGGAACCGATCAAGGTACTTTGCATAGAGAGATTGTTCGACTCACCGTAGGTGGCGGCTCTGCAGCAGCGGAGAGAGGCTTGCTGGCAGGATGCGGAGGGCTCGAGGAGGGGCCCGAGTTCTGCAAGACAGCAAGAGGGTGAGGAGTTTAGGGACAAGGGGCGCAGAGACGAGACAACCTCGACCGAAGGAAGTGTATTCCACATACTTAGGGCAAAGCTTTGGCGCTCAAAGGGCATCTGATTATGGGCTACGACACCAAGTTCACCGGCCGCTTTACCCTATCGCGCCCTTTGACTGCCAACGAGTGCCCGTGCACGACCACCGCCACCAGGCGGATCTCGAGCTACCTTATGCAGTTCTCGAGGAGCGCCCGGTCAAGATCGAGCGGGAGATATTCAAGCCCTGCTACATTGGCGAGTGGTTCAACGAGTACCCCTCCTACCATTGCCAGTAGACGGTATCACCCAACAAGCGCGCTCTCGTCTGGGACAAAATCGAGAAGTTCTACAACTACGTGAGCTGGCTCGAATACCTCATCTCTCACTTTTTTGCCGTATGGGGAGTGCAGCTGAGCGGGACCGTCAATTGGAAGGGAGCCAATCGGGGCGACAGAGGTTCGATCACGGTCGAGGGGGATAGGATTATTGTCAAGATGCCTCTAGCCCAGAACTCACCGTAGGTGTCGGCTCTGTAGCAGCGGGACGGGGATTGCTGGTAGGATGCGGGCCGCTGGAGGAGGGGCCCGTTTCCTGCACGACAGGGGGAAGGCAAGGGGCTTAGGGGCAGATGACACGTAGAGTAGGCAACTTCACACCATGGAATGGTACTTCAATTGGGGTGCGATCCAGACCCCGGAGCAGATCAAGAGGGTCTTTGCTCTCGGCGCCAAGACCGATCCAGAGACTTTGAGGGCAGCAGCGAGCTTCCAGGATGCAGCCGCAGGTGCGATCACACGCCTATACAAGAGGGGCACATGCAACGACCCCAGGGATCTATCCTGGCCGTGGCTGTTTCGATGGTTCATGCAAGCGGGGGGGTTCGAGGACTGGTCGAGCGACGATGTTATTGAATTCTTCGACAAATTTATGAGCAGTGAAGTAGGCAGATTTGAGGAATTCAAAGGCAAACTTTCAAAGCGCATCTGCCGCGCCGCACTTGAGGACTGTCGATGTGGGCACTGACCTCTCTACTGACGCTTGGCGCGGTCGGCGGGTCCTGCCACTGGGGTCGAGCAGGTTGCACTGCAGAACGGGCCATCACCTCTGCCACCCAGTTTGGGTTCGATTGCTGAATGAGAAAGGAATGCACGAGTCAACACCCAGTTCATCGACTCTTTCCATAAGCCAGCTCTCAATACGCATGGGTGCAAACGAATGAACGTGCTCAATGACAGCATGATCTCACACATGTCGGACAGCGACAGCGACTGGAACTCACGCTTCCTCGCCACGCATCAAATGGCTCGAGGCTGACTGGCTTTGACTTGACGCTCTTCTGAACCTCCTGCATGACATGTATTGCCCGATTATTCGTCATTCGTGAATCACCCGGTCTATATCGACGCTCTGTGGATGCCGGTGAGAAGGGGCATGGTGATTCTGGGAAGTGGCACTTGTGGCCTGGCGGTACTTCGTGCAATCCTGAGATGGAGCCTGTATGAGGCAGAAAGCAACTTTGCTGACGAATAACTCACCTCTGCGATCGGAAGGTGAATCAGGGGCCGCCCGCATGAGCTGCTCGGGGCGTCGGGATCGTGTGTGGGCCACCCCGGGTTGCTCTCCACGCCCCCAATCATCAATTGGGTCGCTGCATCGCACCAGAGGGATCCCTCAATCAATCGTGCTCAGAATGGCAAGCCCTTCAAGCCAGATCCGTGCATATGATCCGCAAAGCCGACTGGACCCTATTCTTGCCAATTAGTGCCAGAGGTGTGTCGTCGTACCTATCAGCGCCTTGCTCTTTGGTGCTGAGGAGTAAAAGACCTCCTCTGATCCGCGCCCGTAGGCTGGAGATCCTGCGAGAGCATATTATTGGGATGTCAGTCTGAAGGGCTGGGCGAGTCGAGAGCCCTGCCAAGATTCGAGGAGTCCAGCAAGTTGTACCAGTTTAGCGCCCATTCGGATTCTTCAGAAGTAAACACCCGGTGCCGCGGCGCTGCCTGCACGCTGTAAAGCCTCACACCGTTCTGGGGGCGCCGGCCATACCCTGCAGTATGTACCAGAAAACGCCCATTAGATTCTTAAGAAAGTAATACAGTGTTTCCTGGTACACGGCCCTGCACGCTTCAAAGCCTCACACCGTTTTGAGGGGACCCGGCCATACCCTGCAGGATGTACCAAGAAAGGCCCCTTAGATTCTTAGGAAAGTAATACAGGGTTTCTTGGTACACGCTGATTGTGCGATGGATGGGTGGATTATGTGCTTTCATGCGCTTCATGGGCAAGGCCGGCCATACCCTGCAGGATGTACCAGAAAACGCCCATTAGATTCTTAAGAAAGTGATACAGCGTTTCTTGGTACACGCTGATTGTGCGCTGGATGGCCGGATCATGCGCTTCATGGGCAAGGCCGGCCATACCCTGCAGGATGTACCAGAAAACGCCCCTTAGATTCTTGAAGAAGTAATACAGCCTTTCTTGGTACACACCCCCGCACTCTGCAAAGCTCCGCACCGTTTTTGAGGGGCCTCGGCCATACCTGCCAAGATGTACCAGAATCTGAGCGGCCTTTTGATGTTCGAGAGGAAATCGCCGAAAACTATCACGAGAGGACACGCATGGGATCGTTGGAAGGAGAAGGAGTCGTCGCTCACCTTGGAATGCGCTCCTCTCCAGCACGCTCTTTGTGGCGGTGGGCTGAACCCCAAACCTGTCGCTCCTGCTTGACAGCGCGCACAGTCCCTCTGCGTGGTGGACATGAGGCTGCCCGGATTGCGCCTCGTCACTGGCGGCGTGCTGATGGCGGGCAGCGCCAAGACCGCAGTCCGACTCAGAGTCGCCACCGGTCGCACTGGGGCTGGTTGTGGAGGGGCTGTCGGGTGCGTCGCGGCCAGCAGACGCGGGCTATGAAAAAGGTTGCGCTCAATGGGTCAGAAAAAGCGCAACGCTGGGGTTTCAATGTCACAATTAATCGCCAGATAACCTGCAGAAGTCCTCGGATTCGTGCGACAGGTCAAGGGCATGCACTCTGCCCCGACCATACCCAGCAAGGTGTACCAAGAAACACCCATTTAGATTCTAAAGAAGTAATAGGTTCTTTCTTGGGTTCCTGATGAGAAGCAGAACTGACGCACCACAGAACGCTTTCCTTTGTATACCGCTTTTGGGGCGCCGCTTGGAACCCCTCCCGATATTGCAAGACTCGGAACAATGACCTTCGATTTTGGAGCTAATGAGTGTGCCCAGCTGGCTCGGGACACTGCTCGGCCATACACTTAAGGATATACCAGGAAAGGGCTGTTAAATTCTTAATAAAGAAAACGCCACTTCCCGATACATGCTGACGGCGCGCTGATCCAGCCACACCCCCAATGATGCACCAGGAAAGAGCGTCAGTTGAATCTTCAGAGAGGAATACGCCACCTCGTGGTACATACTGACAGCGCACCCCAATTCATGCGAGCGAGTGACAAAGGTTGGGTCGGGCCATGCTTTGCGCCGTCAGTGAACCAAGGCCTCAGCAACACAGTGCAGCGCAAGGGACTGCTGGACGCTCACCTTGCGATCTGCTGAGCGCCGTACGACGGCTGCTCGTGGCAGGAAACCGCCCCGGCCGGAGGTTGTTTGACGGCCCGCAAAGGCCCTCACGTGCGGGGCGTTGCATGCACTGCGCCTCGTCACCGATCGAGCTGGCGGCGGCGCGCTCACACTCTGAGGGGTCGAGAGTGGGGCGAGTCGCGGCAGCGGCGGAAGGCTCGTCGGCATGGCGCGCGTCGTGGACGCCGGCGCCTTGCGATCCTGCACAGTGGATCAGCACGGCGGCTCGTGAATCTCACAATCCGGCCCGAAGATCAAGAGCATGCAAGCTGTCCAGCCATGCCCGGCAAAGACGCCACTTTGTGGTACATGCTCATGGTGCTGCGGGCCCGGCCACACCCCCCAGAATGTACCGGGGAGCTGCCTATTAGTCTCTGAAGAAAGATTGAGATGATTCTTGGTACACTTTCGTGAAAGCGGCAAGCCCAGCCATACCCCCCAGAATGAATCCGGCCATACCCCGCAAAGAAGCGCCCGGCCATGTCCCCTAAAATGCACCCGGCCATACCCCCCAAAATGAATCCGGCCATACCCCCCCAGAATGGATACGGCCATATTCCGCAAAATGCACCCGGCCATAACCCCTAGAATGAATCCGGCCATAACCCGGCAAAAAAGCGCCGGGCCATGCCCCTGAAATGCACCCGGCTATAACCTACAGGATGTACCAAGGAAAGGCCCAGTAGATTCTTAGAGAATAATACAGCGTTTCTTGGGACACGACCCTTCTCTGCTCCGCATGCTGAAACCGCCACACACCGTTCAAGGGGCCAGCCATACCCCGCAAGATAAATGTACCAGAAAACGCCCAGTAGATTCTTAAAGAATAAAACAGCTTTTTCTGATACAATGCCTTTCGTTAAAGTTTCACACCGTTTGGGAGCCCGGCCGTACCCTGCATAGTGCACCAAGCCGCACCCCCCAAAATGTACCAGAAAACGCCCAGTAGATTCTTAAGGAATAATACAGCGTTTCTTGGTACACGACCGTGATGAGAAGCAGGGTTGGCGTACCAAACAACGCTCTTCCTTGGTACACTGCTTTTGGGGCGCGGCATCAAACCTCTTCAGATGAATCAAGAACCGATCTTCTGTGTTCGACATCACACTTCCAGGAGTCATTGAATGTTGCGCAATCACTGTCGATCTGCCAGCCAGGGTGCAAGCTGATGGGCGCTTGCCTCAGTGAGTTCTCGTTTGACAATCTCGGGCGCTTACCTGCTGTTGCCGTCCATGACCGAGGAACAGCAGATGACCCAGCCCCCTTCTGATGCTGCTCGCGTTCAGGACAGGCAGGGTTCGCCTTCTTTCGCGCCTTCTCGCGTCCCTGGATCCATGCTGCAATAAGAAAAGGGTACGATCAGCGCGGGGCCTGTCGGGCCTGCAGCCATGCAAAGACCTGCACGATTCAAGGTCGGGTTGCGGGCTGCTCAGACACAATCGAGATGTGTGTGTCTCAGGACCCTTACATGCGCGGTCGCTGTCGATCTTGAAACAACCCTTTGATGGCCCGTGGCTTTCGCAGAAGTATGTGACCGCCCCTCCCATCTTGCCCCTGTGGAGCCCATACTCCGCGGTTGTGTCGCACTCGCGGCAGTGAATGGCATGCGGGTCTGGAAAAGAGAAGAATACTTAGGGAATCATGCAGGGCCAAGCCTACCCCACACCCCTGCATGCAGGAGCGGCCATGCCATCACGTTTTGGCGCTGTACCAAGTTTTGGCCTATTGGTATCTAAAGAAAGGACTGGCCAGAACTTGGTACACTTCCCAGCCATGCCATCAGTTTTTGGCGCTGGTACCAAGAAGTGACCCATACTCGTCTCGAGAAAGAACGGGTCAGAACTGAATCCACTTCCCTGCGCACGCCCAGGCATGCCATCAACTCTTGGTGCCATTGTTATGTTCAGGAAGAAGTGGTCAGGACTTGGTACGTTCCCTACGCATTGCCCGGCCATTTCACCAACTTCTGACGTTGTACCAGGAAATGGCCAATCATTATCTTCAGAACTGGCCAACACTTGATACTGCTCCCTACGCATGCCCAGTCATGCCTGAAACTTCTGGCGCCATTTACATGTGGTCACACCTGGTACAATTTCAACACAGACCCAGCCATGCCACCAACTTCTGGCGCTGTACCAAGAAATGGCCCATTAATATCTTTAGAAAGAATTCGCTAAAACTTGGCACACTTCCCGATGCACGCCCAGCCATGCCACCAAAGTTTCTCTATTTGATGTTGAAAACGAATCATGACCCACTGTTATAGGCTGGAGAACTTTGAAGAACACTTTTCCTGAATCAGTCTTGTTCTGACGGTGTTGTACCAAGAGTTGTTTGAAACAGAATGAGATTTCATACACCTGCTTACAGGGCCAGCAAACTAATATCCCCCTGACCTTAAGAGTTGGCATTTGAAGAAGCGAACAATCCGCCTTTAGCTCACCACGTTCCGCAGCGCAATTCAAAGCTTCTTCGCGTACCCGCGCATCCTGCTGATTTGCTTTCTGGTCAATAGCGCTGGAGCGCCGGCCTCGTGGAACCTCGCGAGCAGGCTGCCCCTCATTCTTCAATTGCTTTGACCTTTGGCACCGCCGGCGGCGAGGGGCAGATTTGTCATCGCTCTGCGCGTTGACAGCAGCAATCAAGATCTTTTGCCTTTCTGCACTAATCGAGATGCGCTCCCTATACTCCGCAGCGCGCGCAAAGCGAGCAGCCTGGCAGACCCTATGATCAGACTTGGACCGGCCACAAGGCCGGCTTCTCGCCATGATGAATCAAGCATTAGGTCCGTTGTTCACGGCTGCAAGGACTTAAAATCAAGGGCTGATC